CTGAAAAGTCCTTGACTAGTGTAAACACTACCTAGCAACAACTAAAACATCGGTGTGTTATCAACATTGTTCTCACCCTAAATCCAAAACACAGCACTGTACCAGCCACCAGGAAGGAAATCAACTCTATCCCTGCCAAAACCAGGACAAATGTCTTACAATAGTTTGAAAGTCCTTAAATGAGAACTGCCCATGTCAGTGTTTTCCATGCAACAGAAAGAACGTGCAGTCTCTGTGTAAAAAATTAACACAGATAAACAAGAGGGGGAACTGCGTAAGGTAAAGAGCCAAAAACACCTTTCTTCTCATCAGAGGTCATGGAAAGAGAGGGAGACGTTATTGCAGCCTTTCAGTACTTAAAGGGGGCTTATAAAAAAGATGGCGGCAAACGTTTTAGCAGGGCCTGTTGCGACAGGACAAGGGGGAATGGCTTTAAACTAAAGGGGGAGGGAGATTTAGGCTAGATCTAAGGAAGAAATTTTTTACACTGAGGATGGTGAAACACTGGCACAGGTTGCCCAGAGAGGTGGCGGATGCCCCATCCCTGGAAACATTCCAGGTCAGGTTGGACGGGGCTCTGAGCAACCTGATCCAGTTGAAGATGTCCCTGCCCACGGCAGAGGGGTTGGACTAGATGAGCTTTAGAGGTCCCTTCCAACCCAAACTATTCTATGATTCTATGAAAGATTTTAGAGGCAGGACTCATAGAAAGAGGTAACAAGTTTAATTAGATCTACTAACAGGACTAATAAAACAAAAACTTTTAGATTCAGATTCAGAAAACCTTCTTCAAAGGTATTTGCAAAAGTATAAAGTAAAAGCGTTCTGTGTTTTTCTGGCTAGCTGCTTACAGCAAAAGCCTGGAATATTGTGTTAAAGAGCATTAAATCTGATGTTGCTGGCAGAGGATCAACATTCCACTAACAAAAGCTAATAAAGTCTGGTGGGTCTGTCGAAGCTGGTATCAAAGATCCAGGCAGACCTGGGCTGGTATCCAAGTGCTGGGTCGTAAGTCAGAATAAACTCTTGTTATCGAAGGACCTTCATTGTTCAGGAATTTTCAGCTCTCACCTGGGAACATGAGGGAAAGGTCTGGTTTCACTTCAACTAACTTCAGCTGTCTAGAAGTTAAGCATCTAGTTTAAGGCCTCTGACTACGAAGAGAGAGAGAAGGAGGGGGCACCTCCAGGGCGCAATTTATTCCACCTACTTTGGAGATGTATTTTAGTAAAGAATGAACCGCCCTCTGGAGCTCTGTCTCTGGGTTGCCTCTCTTTCATCGGAAGTGCCTCGACAACCACCTTACAGATGGCTGAAGT